TGAAACCTAATATTCCCCATCGTTAATAATTACTGAAATTTTAAACACTTCAAGCAAGTATTCTCATTTCTACCAAGCTGGTACATAATACAGGTTAGTATAATTGATATGTTCTCACATTTTACTCCTTCCATATCTAATTTTGACTTTATGACTCATCTCCAGCTGTCACATCATCAACCAGATTTATATCTGTGGGGCACGCGGTAGCGTAGTTGGTTGAGGCACTATACTACGAGTAGGAAGGTCGCGATTTCGAGTCCCGATGAGGTCACTGGATTTTTCAGTTGACCTAATACTTCCAGCTGCACTGTGACCCTGGGATCGACTCAGCCTCTAACAAAATGAGTACCAGGAATCTTTCTGGTAAGTAAAGGGCGACCGGAGCGTAGGGCTGGTAACCTCACCACCATCTGTGAACCGATTGTTTAGAAAATGAGTGAGCCTCTACGTCTCACAACCCTATGGTCCTCCATGGCTTGTTACAGGGATAGTTGTATTTTTTTTCCTTTAAAAGTGAAGACAGAAGTACGGAATTTAGATCTGAATTGTGACATAGTATCACTTTTTTCCATTATGGATTAACATAAAGGAAGAACACTCAAATGACTACATCGTTTCTTGATAAATGTAATAGGGTCTGCCTGACATGAGAGCATATTGGACAACCTTATGTCATCTGTGGGACTTGTGTTAAAGTAATAATAATGATTTCAAGATCGAGTTTTTGTTCACATGCTTTGTTCAGAAGAGCTGCAAGATTGTATTTATTGGTCCATCGCTTATTATTACAATTTCAACCTTGTTGACTGTGTACAGTATGTCATCTTTTCCCACCCCTGGTCTAAAAGTTTAAATGAGCAATCTATCGTAAAGTCATGGTACGTGTTGTGTGATCTGCATCTCCCATTATCTTTTCTTCTTAATGAATTCAAGTAAAGGAAATACAGACTTTCCAATAAACAAAAAGCATTTGCTCTGATATAACCTTCACACCTCTGTGCTTCTAGTGATTTCTAATATGGCCTTGAATCAAGATATTGACCCTTTGCTTCGGAGAAACTTCCAGAGAGGCCATAAAGACGACGCCGCCTTCACCATCGTCGTCAAGGTCATCGCCGTCGACAGAGCAGTGAATGCATGAGTGACTCGAGTACTACACTTAGGGCACGTGCAAGTGGAAGGCACGATCACGGCACCATAGTTCGCTGTCTCTTAAGGGTGGCGACTGGCTTGTAACATTTATCTGTAATGTAACATTCGCTGCGAGCATGTTACATTACATCACAACTGGTGTAGCGCATCGAATGCACGTTTTGAACGCTCGGCTCGACTGTCCTCGTGCGCGCTCCACTTCATTTCATTCAACATGTCTGACATGGAGGTTGTGTTATCTGCGTTCCTTTTAATACGCTACTGTTATTTAAAGAAGAGAATAAAACGCCTTTGGATAACAAACTTGTACAAAAACAGAAATGAAAACAGTGCTCCACATGTCGGACATGAACGCTCGTTACGACACCGCTAGACTGAGACAACACAATGGAGCTCCCGCGAGCGCGAGCGGCTCGCATCGAGCGGCTCCGTTAGCTGTCTTCACTTGTGTAATGCTCGATTTGTAACACGTTACATTACAGGCAAATATTACAAGTCAGTCGCCACCCTAAGGCGCGTCCACATTACTCGTGCTCGTGCGTCAGAAGCTTACTGCTGCCGGAAAATCAGGATCTGGAGCTGACGAAGTGGACGCCCAAATCGGTTTGCAGACAAAGCCTTCGCATTTCTTCACAACAGATATCATCTCCAGATTCTGATTTTCCGGCAGCAGTAAGCTTCTGACGCACGAGCACGAGTAATGTGGATGGTTGATCCGTGGTTCAAGCCGCAAGGCGAGCCGAGCTTACTGACACTTCAGACACTCCATGCAGATATTTCGGACCCTCGTCGTTGTTAGCAAACCGACCGCTGTGTTTGTGTGTTCTCGCAGTCATGGGATCAGATCTCAGCCCAGAGATCGACTATCCTGAGATTTCTCGTTGTTTTCTCCAGTCCCTCCAAGAAAACGCTAGGATAGTATCTTACAATTCCACAGTGTCTTTTTTCATATTGTAACATGGCGCCTCAAAGCCGGAAGTACGCAGTCAGAGAAGCACAACAGAGACGTCGGCTGCTGCACAACGGCTAGGTAAACATTGTTCACGCAGCAACGAATTACTGTGGCAACGGATACACAGAACAACAGAGGAACTGTAAGATATTGTGTTGTGTCTGCGATCCTCACTGGGTCATGAAAGGACACGTAATTGATTCTCAGGGATGGTGCAATCATACTGAGTAGAGAAGAATAGAATTTAGAGACCAGTTAGCGGCCTCCGTAGTCTAGAGGTAACGTTCCCACCTCATGACTCGTAGTACGCGGGTTCAAATACCCGGCGGAGGTCGTCGAATTTTTAAGGGCGGAAAAATTCAAGGACCAAGCCCTCCGGGAGGGACTTTAAGCCGTGGGTCCCGTGTCGTAGCTTTACGGCACGTAAAAGAACCTCATATCTCCAAAGGAGGTCACTGAGCCAAATTAACGGACGTTTCCCGCCCAACAGCAGTCTCTAATACCTCTGGTAGATGGGGGAAGCATTATAGATACCTCTCAGGTAGTAGAGCCGGTCTCGCTGGCTGGGCGGGACTGATGGTAAGCACCAGTACCGGTAGGATATAGAGACTGGTAGAAATCATAGAGGGAAGCACAATGGACCAATACAGGTCTAAGTGCATGGGGAAACCCACCCTCTCCAATAACTAAATGACTAACTAACTAACTAACTAACTAACTAACTAACTAACTAACTAGAGACCAGTTCAGGATCCAAACAACAGTGCGAAACGTCGTTAAGAAGGAGTTAAATATGCGAACTTTTATAATCAACTGTAATTGTAATACACACGTCCAATAAATCCAGTCATCAAATCTAGAACCCACAATTAATAGTCACGCCTGCACCTTATACGTGACAATTTGGTGTCAGGAAGCGTTTACGACCTTAAATTCATAACATTTTTTGTAAACTTTCATACTAAGTTATTAATGCCACTGCTTTCTCCCGTATTTCTTTCCAGTCCCGAACGTTACTGAATCGCAAATCAAGGCCGATGTTTAACGCCATCTCCCATTAATAATACGCATGGAGCAGACAGCAAAACTCCTTTGTATAATATACTACACTTCACACATCCACATCAAAATATTTTAAATCCTCACAAAATAGACACACGATACACTAACACAAAAGATTCCTCGTTCGCTCGTGACGTACCATATAATGTACATTCATGCAAAGTGTTAACGTTGGAGAATTCGTCGTTGTAATAATACAAACTGTGAAGTTTCAGAGAGAGAGATTTGCTTCTATCCGCGTGAATTCCCAGTGAGAATTAATTGTGGATTTGATGTCTTCCCCTTTCAAGCTGTCCGTCATACCCTTTGCAGTACACTTGGTTTCATTACAGTAATACTACAAAGAGATTATCATACACTGAAGTGCCTGAAGTCATGGGATAGGTACCTAGTATCGCGTAGGACCCCCTCTAGCCCAGCGAAGTGCAGCAACTCGACGTGGCATCGATTCCACAAGTGGACGGAAGACCTCTGGAGAGATGTTGAGCCATGCCGTCTGGATAGCCGCCCACAGCTCCCTGGTATTTGTAAGTGCAGGATTTTGGGTGCGAATGGACCTCTCCACCACGTCCCATAAATGCTCGATTGGGTTGATGTCGGGCGAAAGTGGTGGCCACACCATTCGTCGGAAATGCCTTCCACAAGGTATTCCCGGTACACATGTGACACCGTGGATCGAGGAATGTTGAATGACCGCACAACTTCGGAAATGGAATGTCCTATCCGCCTGGCACTCATTGTCATGCCCCGTTCAAGCTCCCATAATTTTCGTCTGCTTGTCATGAGCAGACTGGCAGGTGTTCAACCTGACTCACGAGTGAACACCTCACAACTGATACTGCTCTGGGCGGCATTCCCAAGCCATCAAGGGATGGTGGCGCCACTTAAAAATAAATTTACATATTGCTATCCCATAATTTTGGCACTTGAGTGTATAATATTTTATTATTTCATTTAAAATAAATTGGAACTTTAGTCGAGGCCTTGAACAAGCTTGCAGAAGAACAATATCATTTCCCGCAATCCTGCGCTAAACGCATTCAATATCTTTCGTGTCAACGTATTACCGAGAACTGTTCTCAGACCATGGACTTCTGTGATGCGCGCCATGTAGTATGGTAGATGGGTACTAACACTTCGGCTTATCATTGCTTTGGAGGAAGCAGATTCCTCCGAAATATTGGTGCCTATCTGCCAAGCTACACAGTGTCACATCCCAGAAGAATATTTACTATAGGGTGTATATCAAATATCACAAAAGAAATGCTCTACTGTTTAAAACGATAACATATCCTGAACCTACACTGACTAGTTGTTCCATCAAACGGCTCTTTCACCCATATCTGTAACACCACATTTATGCATGTTACGTACCACTACATATGCATGTTACGTACCACTACACGCTAGCGCGTGGTACGAGGTACTGCAGTTTGTGTAAGAGATGGCAGTGTTCAATTTCAGAGTGGTCTGCTATCTACAGGCACTGCTCAGAACTACTTAAAGCTGCTGCACCAAGTGATGAAGTGATGGAGCATGATTGAGTCGTGAGTGGGTTAAGTAGGTTAGTTGAGGGCGTTTGAGTCATAATGCTGTAGGCGTGTTATTGCCTGTTATTTATGTTTCTGTTAGTAAGAAATATAGAGCATTAGACAGGTGTTATTTGTATTTAAAATGTAATAAATATTCAACTGAAAGACGGGCTACTTTTTCGATTAGCAGAACGTTGTAAGGTGATAAGTACACATCCATTGAAACGGCAGTGCGGAAATGTGACAGTTACTGTGACTGTAAGTTGTAGAATTAAGATATGTATGTAATTTTATTTCAGGGGCCGAAACACCATTGCAACCAAATATGGAATTATGTCATACAGACAATCACTGTATTAAAATTTCAAATATTAAGAATGGAGAAACATTGTGTTACTCACTGCCACTCATTAAAGGTCGAATTTTAACTAGGAATGGAAATAAGTGCTTTAATTGCTCAACAGGCAAAATCATGCTTCATCACTATAATGACAGTGGTTCTTTAATGACAACAACAGAATGGCATGTTGCTAACTCTGAATTTAAATGTTTAGTAAGTCTCCTCTTGGGGAGAAATATTTTAGTCTTCAAATACTGCATCAGCCAGTTGAAGATGAAGCTAGAATACCAGCCAAGAAGGACAGTGCTTCGGGTAACACCTGTATACATTATTTGTCAGGAGCATGATGGACTGTTTCAGGCTCCAACAAATGTAGATAATACAGTCCCAAGTGCATGTGAACGCATTGCTCTGGGAGCGCGTCTCATTCAATCCCTTACTGCTGAGAAACTTTACGAATCCAAAGTGGGACGAAAAACTTTCCAGCTGGAGTATGACTTAAACAAATCAGGCCCTGAATGCATAGTCTTTCATAGTCATCTTCCAGTGGAAGAAGCTCGAAAAATGGATCCTACAGAATTATGGAAACATTTTGGTTGTGAACTGATGATTTCACCTCTTGGTAACAAGGATCGTAAATTTCTTGCCTTACTCTCATGCACACTTTACCATCTTCCAAAAAATAAAGAGTCACCAAAGACCCATGAAGATACCTTGTCTGCAGTGGAAGCTCATGTTGCCCTTGGTGGTGGAGGACTTGCTTTGTTTGGTTCTGCTTGCCTTCACACTTGGCCACGTCATGTGGATGAAATAATACCGAGATTCCTCGACATAACCAGAGTGGATACAAGATATTTCATGGATGACAGTGGTTACAGGTGATGTAAATTTTTCTGTTATTATTACATTGTAAAAAATGCTGATTTCTGGAACAAAATAATGTGTTAGTCCTACACTAGTAATGACTCTACAAACTCTTCCCCTCACCTCTCTATTGAATTCCCATGTGGCTCACTCTTCCTCCCTTCCTGTTCTTGTATAGCTGGGTGTTTTCGACTGGTGAATCAGTCTGCAGCCACCTGCCCATGCTGCTTCCTCGCTCACAGATTTTTCAACCCTGTAAATGGAGGCGATACATTCCTCAGAAATGTCAGTTTACACAAGATCTACACAGTGCCACATCCCAGAAGATGGAATTCTTCATAGTCACCAATGTGAAAACCTCAAAACTTACATAGTTTTTTGTCATAGGCATAGTCAATGAAAACTGCCTACTTCATTCTTATCCATACTGAAGGATAGTCACTTAGTTTGTTTCCGTAGTTGTGCCATTCATGGAAAGATACTGTCTAAAATACTTTATAGTAAATTTTTTTATGTTCCTTCTGTTTCTTACTTTGATATTAAGTGATTCAGTGTCTCAGTTCACTGAAGCATGTTAATCCAGATGAAGTGTGATATTAACTCAGTAAATATTTATTAGAGTGAAAAATGTTTCAAACAGATTTGTAGAGAACTATGCCAGTATACTTTTTTCATAAGTCTTACATTTTTTCAAAATAATTTTTTATGCTGCATCATCTCCTAGTTCAAGAATCAAGAGGTGAGAGGGGGAAAAATATTCTAGAATTGTTACCCTATATATAAATTTTCTAACTTGTCATTACATATATCACAGAGGTAAAGTAAAGCTGTCCATTGCTTAAGCACAACATTTTGAAGTCCACCTTAGTGCTAGATGAACTGAACAATCGGTTTGATGCTCTGAATGCTTTATCCATGGAGGAGGAACAAAACAGTTGTGGGAACATCCCACATTATCACGCATTTCTGCAACGCTCGCTCTTCACATCGCTTTTCACCATCACGCGCGCTAACCAATCTGATTGTTTCAAACGTTCATATTTATACTGGGATCGCTCCTGGCCCGCATCTACATCATTACGCGCGCTAGCCAATCAATTCTTCCTCCTCACTTTCGAGTTTGGCTCCGCCCCACCGACCAGCGTATAAAAAAGGAGCGACTCCAGAGCCAAGTTATTCAGTTCATCGATTCAGTTCAGTTCAGTTCAATGCAGCTCATCATCAGCCTACGAGCTAGCCACATCAAGCAACTCCAGCCAGCAGGCTTCGTCGCCAGCGCTCGGTCTTCGGAGACATCGGCAGGCTGCGCCGGGCACGACTGCCTCGGCTCTCCGGCGCTCTCACACCCGACTCACTGGGGCACCGCGCCTGGACTCGCCGGTGGTCGTGTTACGGTCCGACCCACTGGGCTTCTGGCGTAGCCACTGCCTCATGGCTCCTACGACCGCGCTCAACGACTAGCCTTTCACCACCAGCAGCAACCTCCGCCATTTGCCGCACTGCGATCAAGCAACCTCCAACTCACTCTGCCGCACGGCAACCAAGCAACCTCCAGCCACGGCCGCACTGCGGCCAGGCCACTCGCCTTTCACTAGCCTTTCTCCTTACCGGCGCGCGCCGCGCTACCTCACTGGTCAAACATCTCGGGCCAACAAACTGTTCTGAAGAAGTGGGTTGTCATAGGAGTAATGACAAGACTACACACGTTGACAAGAGCCCCACACAGTATTCACTGATTCAAGTCTTAGCCTGGGATTGGGTATGGTTTTCCACATTTTATCAAATGAATGCAATGATAATACCTTAGAATTAGTTTCAGCTGCTTTCTCCACATACCTCCCAGTTCTTCAATTACAGTTATTCTATCATATATTACTGAACATTATAATATTATTTTGTATAGACTCATTGCTAGGTAAAGACCACGAAACAAACATATTGGACAACAGCTGTTGCTATGCAGTGGCATGGTAAACATGCTTCTATAACAACAGAGTTACTGTTGAAAATGCAGTTTTCTACTCGGTCTGTGCAAAGGGATTATAAAGGAAGACAATTTAGACAATCCAGTTAGAGTCATAGGAGGCAACAAAAAGGAATCTCGAATCTGAGACAGTGAAATATGGTCATGAGTCCCACAGGACATGAACCCGAGAATGACTGCACTGGCAAGGACCAGCAACAATTGTAAACAGAAGACTCATCCTCTCGTCAGACAGAGCGCCCCACATCAACAAACACGCATCTGTCTGACAGTAACAAAAATCTGGTTTTAAGCCCCAGGTAGGTGCTTTATTCCAAGACAGACTGGCCGACTGACCATCGGTAATAATATAAGACCCAAACTCATATTCAACCTAGTTAGTAGGCAGTTGAAAGGCAGCCTGTGAAGAGAAGACTAGGAAGTTGGTGAGAAATGGCTGCCAGCATGGGAGTTAGTCGGTTGAGAATTGAACTTTGCACGGGAGGCTGTGAAGATAGGACCCGAGTGCAGGTAGCTGAAGAATCTGCACCCATAAAGCCATTGCTAGTGTATGGCTGATGAAGACATAGCAGGCTGAAGAAAGGCTTAGCGGGTGCTGTGGTGCTATGCAAATTGTGGAGATTAGTCATAGCACTGTAATTACTTGTACTTTAAAGTCATGTGTATAAGTGGTCAGTAATTCCATTCACCAATCCTTGCCCTGTCATAGTCACACACACCCTAAATCATGACAGTACAAAATGTTGTTACATTGTCATAGTATAAGTAAATAACCAACCATCAAAAAATAGTTAAGTGAATTACATAGTCTTGCTTGAAAAAGGACTTATCATTACACTATGCTTTACTTCTGCAGGGGAACATATGGTGGATGTTTTGCTACTACCTTAGGTGCTGTTTGTCATGAATTGGGACATACATTTGATTTGGGTCATACGCCAGATGGCATCATGGGACGTGGTTTTGATAATGTGGATTTGGTATTTACTGTTCAGTCCTGTGAAGATAACGAAGGGAATAACTACAATAGAAATCGATATATTTCAAGTCCAGTTTGCAAAGAACTAGCACAGCATTCTGCAGTATCCTTTACAAAGGTCCTTAATGTTTCATATACAGTGCCACCACGTCTAAAAAGGCCACAGAATGAAGCTCAGGGAAATATTACAAATATCTCTGAAACTTCAGAGATTAGTGACCTGTGTGAATCAATCCAAAACAGTGTACAAGTAAATAATGGTAATGTCAAACATCCAGAGAGGCTAAATAATCCTCAAACTCCAGCCATGTTTAAAATGGAAAGAGACTCTGCACATTGGTCCAAAAACTGTGGAGCATTCTTGAGTTTTCATAGGTAAGTACCTTAACATACATGCTCAAGTTAATAATTGTACTAATTGTGAGCTTTATATGGGCAGAGTGAATGGTAAAAGACATACTCTCCAGGTCTTGATTCCTTGCCATTTTCCAGTTAGTCATATTCTTTTGGCCATTTAAGTATGGTTCCAAGGCCGTGTATTGAGGCCGCACCATAGCTCAAGCGGATTCCCAACGCGGCAGCCTGGTTTCGATAGCAGGTCTGGTCAAGTGGGATTTGTGATGGACAAAGTGGCACTGGGGCAGGTTTTCTCGAAGTACTTCGGTTTCCCCTGCCAATCTTCATTCCACCAATTGCTCCACAATCACCCTCACCTATCATCTGGGGCTGATACAATAGGCCAGAAGTGGCCACAGTACAAAGGACTTAGTCCTACCCCACTAGCACTAAAAAAAGGCCATGTATTCATAGCATGTCTTATAAAATAAGACCAAAGCATTAAGTACAGTCAATCAAACACAACGATTGAAATATAATTTCACATAGGACTAAGTGAGACATAAGAATTTTCATGTGTGCCATATGTAAAATACACTGTTCTGCTATATGAATCAATTCCCATTATTAATTTGAAACTCATTTTCAGTTGCCTCAAAACATGCAGCTAGAAATTGAGAAAATATGAAAGCAAATGATGTGCTGAAATAAAGGTACAGATAACATTGTCACCACTGGACAAGAGAAATGTAATTACAGAACTATGTTTTACTTTAACAGTCACCAGAGTACAGATATTTTCAGGATTACTGAGTGTCTGGATTTTTCCCATTGTTCTGTATTCTAAAGAAGACAGTACTTCAGAAACTGGCTGTGTTTGCATCCTTAGATGAAAGAGTGGGCGTCACCTACTCTGTTGGGTCTGTTAGTAAGAGACAACTTCAGTCACCAGAAAACCTATGTCAGTATAACTGTAACTGTGTATGCACCTGAGATCAGGTTTTTATCACCTGTTAAGTCATACTTAGAGGGGGAACAGATTATTAAGTTACATTTTATTTTAAATTACATTATATTTTAAATTTTATGAATATTGCAAAAGAAAGTAAGTAATATTTTACTATTGAAGTTATTGCTGAAAACAGAGTGAACAAACCTTGTTCAATTTTAAATATGTCTCCTTCTCTCTCTGTATTTATTTTCCATCTGTGTAACAGACTTTGGAAATATTTTACAAACTTCTCTTTAGTGTTGTATTTTCCATGGGGTAAACTGCTGTTTCCATTGCATTTCTTGATTGCTACTGGAAGTCCCTTGAAGTTGATATTTCATCCTTAGGGATGACCAGAAGTCAGATGAATAAGGTGGGTATGGTAGAATATCAACTTCTCCTTCAGTTTCTGTGAACAGTAAAATGAATAGCTGAAAGGTAGGCTTCAAAACATTACCATTTCCAGCAGGCTGTATACTTTATTTATTTATTTATTTATTCTATAAATTCAAAACATCCTTTTTGGCCAAGCCTGGGATGTAGAACAAGTCACTATTAAATCAAAACATACACAAGAACAGTTCATAAAATAGAACTCAGTCACATACAGAACAGTCATAAAACGAAATTATACATACTGATAATCAAACCACAAAAAAGTGGAGATTGTTCAAGTTGTAATCGATTGAATTACAACCCGTAAAAGCTCACACAACACAACCATAACATATCCATTTCACAAAATTTCAATAGTAAGGTATACTAAAAGTTCAATTAACGAATACAAATATAAAATGATAATTACATATACCTTATGAGATAAAATAACCGAAGATGGCATTATAGATATTTCGGTCCTAGTAGGGTTACTTATTAATACAGGCAATCAGCTGAGCTACTACTACAACTGACAGTCAGACTGAGACCTAAACTGGGAACGTATGGATAAATTGTCTGTCAGACTCTAGTGGGAAAACTTAACTTTGTCTTAATAGACAAGGACTATTTGCTGACTTAATTCAAATTCATTCTTTATCTTGCACATTAAGAATTTAAAAAGTGTTGTTTTTAGCAAACCACTTGGTCTAGTAGTAACACTACACTCTTATTGAGTTGGCATGTGGTTTGACCATCCAAGGATACTTAAATTGCTTTTCCTGAAGTTAAAAGTTATCATAAATACACAGTTTACAGAATAGGTGAGTTTACCTATGCATGCTGTGCTCAGCTTTTGCTGTATGTTACTCATTTCTTAATATTATAATGTACTAAAGAATTTAAAATTGAAATGATAATCAGAAGTTTTAAATTACACTCCTGAACACCATGCTGGTTCATTTTGTATATCTGTTTCCATAAAATGTTATGAGTATGTTCTGGTAACTTGATGTGAGACAGAATCTCTTATTTAAAGATTTATTGTATTACTAATTTCAGGTGGTTTAATGATGAAAATGTGACACAGAAAGCATCAGCAGCCATAAGTTATGATGAAAACCAGTAAGTAAATTATATAAGTACCGTGAACTATGTGACAAGTAAGGGGTAAGTCTTTATGAATGATGCAAAATACATTTTTTTTTCATTAATTTCATATATACTAGTATTTTACGACTTATTGAACTGAATTGTTATATAATGAGCACTGGAATTAATTTATTCTTATGAATTGAATGTATTAAAATTTTGTGCTCATATCTTGACCCTAATACATTTTCAACTTCATAAACCAGATTCAAAGCTCCTTGGAGTTAGTAATGCCAAATGAAGGGAAACAGTTTACATAACATTGGTAAAGGATTGGTGCAGGCCAATAAATACTTATCAGAATATATCCTCATACTGTAATTCCCAAACATAATAATAATAATAATCATCCAAATGAACCAACCAAAAAGCTAAGTCAAATGCGCAATCTGTATTAAACTGTGTATCAATAATGATTCTTTTACAGTCACTGAAGGTGGATGACTCATTCTGGGGCTTTTACCCATATTATTTTTCTCAGTTCTGTGAAGCATAGAACAGAACATAACCCTCTGAAAATCAGAAAATCCCACAGTTTATAATATTACTATCATCTGTCTCTGTCAGGAATGTAATTATAGAAACAGGATTGGCTGAACTTGTGGTCTGTGGATGGGTTTTAGCATCAGCAGTCTTCAGTTTTTTGGATTTGTTGCCATTGAGTGTTACAGAAATCCTATTTTTGGAAGAAATTGTTGGTTCTACATTAAACATTCAGTACACCTATACTAGCAAATTCTGAGATTTTTTCATATATTTTTATAGGCTTTCACTGAATGAAAGTGAAGGAATATGGAAGGGCTAAGGTTATTTGTAGAAATATATATGCTTACTACTCCATCTATCAGGAATGTAAATCACTTTAACATTTTGTTACAGCTGAGAGTAACTGTATAGCATTATGTGTACCAATTTTAAAAGCATGTTTTAATTGGAAACTTAATTGGAAAAGGTTTATAAAATCAGAATGATCCATTTTCATCATACATTCACACTATGAGTTATTCTAATACTGGATTTTCAAGGGAGGTTCTTACCATTGTTGACCAGTTCACAGTGACCAGTGCACCACTGGCTGCGAGGCTATATAAATTTTGCTGATGAATCAGTATGCCTGATGGGCAATAGCGTTTGGAATTAATAGAAGTTATTAACTTTGTGGACCGCTTGATGGCATTATGTTCCCTTGTGGGCAATGCAGTTCATGTGAAGGAATTTGTTTATGATTTGTCAGCAGTGGGCAGAAGTTATCAATTCCATTAGCAGTTTGCCCTCAGTTTCAGTTAGTGAGCAGTGTGTTCCATCATGGCGCAGTATCCTTTAGAGCAATGTGTATTTCTTTATGACACCTACATGAAATATGGATGCGCTAGAATGTGTTGGGGAAAATTTCAACGTAAATGTCAAGATGAAAGAGTTCCCAGCAGAAACACAATTCACAATTTTGTGAATAAACGTAAATAACAGGACTCATACAAGAAGCAAAAACACAAGTACCAAGTGCTTACTGTGGAAAAGTTAGGTGACATAGGAGGCAGACTTGAACATACACCTATAAAATGACTGAAACGTCTAGCTCGAGAGATTGGAGTGCTGAATTCTAGTACAAGAAGGGCAACACAATTGCTCAAGCTTAGACCCTATAAAATGACAGTAATCCATACCTTACAGCTGTGCAATCCAGCAAGCAGGGTTCATTTTTGCATTTGGTTTCCTCAATCTTTTGTCGAAGGTGAGATCAATCTGCAGTTGACATTGTTTTCTGATGAAGCATGGTTTCATTTCCATGGGTACATATACATGCAAAATAATTGCTACTGGAGTTCACAGAATTCACATCTAACCCATGAAGCCCTGCCCCATCCAGTAAAAGTTGGTGTCTGGTGTGCTGTAAGTGCAAGAAGGATTGTTGTACCTGTTTTTTTTTTAATGAAACAATTAATTACGAAATATATGTACAGGTCATTCTGCTGGTTTCAGCAAGACTCATCTACTGCCCACATTGCACGTATGTCAATTCTGGCGTCAGGTGTCTTTGGGGACAGAATTATCAGCAGTGGTATTTGGCCAGCATGTTTATCCAATCTTAACACTTGCGATTTTTTCTTCTGGTGTTTGAAGGACAAAGTTTACAACAGTATCCCCTGTTATATTTGTATTTGTAGGAAAATTGCAAATAATCCTGCAGAACAGCTTCAAAGGGTAAATCAGGACCTATCCCGCTGATCAAGTAATGTCTCCATATAGGACAGCATTTTCAGTACCTCCTATGATTCTTGAATTGTAACTCCTTATTGGCCAACAGGCATATTGACTCATCGGCAAAATTTGTATGAGCCTCTCAGCTGGCAGTGCACCGTGAAGCACAGAGCCATGAACCGGTCAACAGAGATGAGGTCCCCCTTATATAATGCATTTTTTAATGTGAACTCTTATTTTCTCTCTGAAGAGTATATTGTTATTTTGTGCATGTACTTTTAGGAATGTGGTATCATCTTCACTTGGTGTTCGGGTGGTAGAAGTACGGGATGAGAATGAATTGGTTCTCTCATCCTGGCAATTCTTGGAATCAGATGGTGTTGAAGAATTTGCATTACCTCCAGATGTTTTGTTAGAACGATCACTTATTCTGATGGCAGAAGACTCAGCTGGGAACATACTCAGATATAGTCTTTAATATTTTTTATTTGTAGTTTATATGAAGTGACAGCTTTACTTACTTTCCCTTGGAGTAAATTATAAATTATATTGTATTCCAAATGTTTATTGGATTCATAAACAGATATATCATTAGAAGGTATTACCTCAGAGGGGCATGCGGTAGCATGGTTGGTTGAGGCATTATGCTACAAGCTGGAAGGTTGCATGTTCGAGTCTGAATAAGGTGGATTTTTCAATTTACCTAATCCTTCCAGCCGCGTTATGGCCCTGGGGTCGACTCAGACACTAACAGAAATGAGTACCAGGAATCTTCCTGGGGGGTAAAGAGCGGCCAGTGCATAAGGCTGACAACCTTACCGCCATCTGTGAGCCGATTGTCTAGAGAAAATGTGGGAACCTCAATGTTTCACAACCTGTGGCCCTTCATGACCTGTTACAGGAATAGCTTTACATTTACTTCAGAAGTATCAGAGTACGCAGACATGCCAGTCATGGGAATATAATTTCCTGATTCTGGTGCAGTCCAGACAGCACTTCTGGGTTCTGGGCTTCCAGAGAAAAAATAATGCAAAGAATTTATTTATATAACAGTGGTAACTGGAAGGAATAATTCCTCACATTTTCTATATTTATTTGGATGAGATACAATATATGTGTACAATACAGTTTCCTATATATTTATTTAATACTATATGTATGCATGTAATGGAAGCATTTTAGCGGCCTCCGTAGTCTAGAGGTAATGTTCCCACCTCATGACTCGTAGTACGCGGGTTCAAATACCCAGCGGAGGTCGTCGAAATTTTAAGGGCGGAAAAATTCAGGGAACAAGTCCTCTGGGAGGGACTTTAAACCGTGGGTCCTGTGTCGTAGCTTTATGGCACGTAAAAGAACCTCATATCTCCAAAGGTCACTGAGTCAAATTGCGGACGTTTCCCGCCCAACAGCAGTCTCTAATACCTCTGGTAGATGGGGGAAGCATTATAGATACCTCTCAGCCAGTAGAGCCGGTCTCGCTGGCTGGGCGGGACTGATGGTAAGTACCAATACCAGTAGGATATAGAGACTGGTAGAAATCATAGAGGGAAGCACAATGGACCAGTACAGGTCTAAGTGCATGGGGAAACCTACCCTCTCCAAATAACTAACTAACTAACTAACTAACTAATGGAAGCATTTAAGTGATCAGTGTTATCCTTTACTCAAGACAGGCTTAATAACTATTGCATATGTGCTTCCAGTTCAGTCAGTGAATATCGCAGAAAGTAGAATCGATGAAGACAGGTTTTGACATATGCAGTAATACTGTGGCATAATCATCACTATTTAAATGTAAAAGCTAACTCAGTAACATCTGAAAGAATAAAGGCTTGTGAGATTAAATAAAAAATCTTAAGACAATTTTTTGAAGACTGATATACTGATAAGAAAAGGTGCCCAGGCACAGGACACATTGTGAAATGGGAAAGTTGTGAAATATGGTGTGAGGATGCAGATTGGATTCATTCATTTATTTATAGTTCCAAATAATCCATAGAGGCATCTGCCTCAGATATAGAACAAGTCAATAATGCAATATAACATATAAATATACATACATAATCAGATAGTCATCATCGTCAAAATTTAAATACTTAATACAACAAAACTACTGTACAGCAATACATTTCATATATCAAAATAACATATAAAATTACATACACGATTCAAAGACCACCAAGATCCTTAATATAGTAATATAAAATCTATTTTCTTAATATATAATACACTGTATCACAACAGTAATAGCACCCTTTTCCTGAGTATTCATTCCACAGTCCATTGCATTCTAGCAATAGGCAACAGTGTTTATTTAAATATACATTTTATTCATTCATTCATTTATTACAGTCAAAAAATCCACAAAGGGGTCTGCCTCAAATATAGAAGAAGTCAGCAACGCAATATAACACATAAATACACATTCACAATGAGATAGTCATCATCATCAAAACTTGAAATACAATACAACAAAACCACTGTACAACAATACATTCCATATATCAAAATAACACTTAAAATCACATACATGACCAAAAGACCACCAAGACTCTTAATATAGTAATACAAAATCTATTTTCTTAACATATAATACACCTATATCACAGCAGTGATAGCACCTTTTTCCTGAGTATTTTATTCCATATTCTGTTGCATCCTAACAATAGGCAACAGTGTTTACTAAATATACATGAGGGATCAATCTTTATTCCCGCAGTAGTATTCTTCAACAGTATAAAAAGAACTGGTGATAAGAAACTTCTTTAACGCCACTTTAAATCCAGGAATGTCATAAGATAATTGTTTAAGCTCTGGAGGGAGGTGGTTATAAAGTTTGATACCAGAATACCATCCACCTTTCTGAAATATTGTTAAGTTTACCACCGGAAGATGCAAGTCATGATTAAATCTGGTATTACGTGTGTGGACATCAGAGTTTGTTATATAGCAATCTCTATTCTTGACAACCAGCATAAGTAGAGAAAATATATATTGGGACTGAAGTGACAGTATATGTAACTCCTTAAATAAATTACGGCACGAATCCACATTACGAGAATTCATGTGTCTTTTTGACGAGCTGGATGACTCTAAGAAAAGACTCCAGGTGGAGTTACTTTTCATTCAAAGCTCTGCTCAATTTATGTGAACCTTAATATATTTTTTGTAAAGAAGAGATGATTGGCTCAGGAAGCATTCATACAACTGGTGAATTTAAGAATTTTGTTCCTTGGATGAAAATTCATATATGCTTTGAACTGCAGAATTGCACTGAAAATATTTTGTTTTCAGCAAGTGGGTCCAGTGATGAGTCTTCCTGAGCTTCCATATTTATGCCATTTCATTCAAGTAAAGGAACCCTGTTCTGATATTAGAGCACCCCAAAGATAGAGACCACAATTTTCTGTAGAAGGATGAACAGAATAGTGAGACTAGATACAGAAGAACTTACCCTCTTAATTTCAACGTAAATGTCATGATGAAAGAGTTCCCAGCAGACACACAATTCACAATTTTGTGAATAAACTTATATCAACAGGACTCAGACAAGAAACAAAAATGTAAGCGCCAAGTGTCTACTCAGGAAACGTTAGATGACATAGGAGCCAAACTTGAACATACACTTAGAAAATGACTGAATTGTCTAGCTCAAGAGATTGGAGTGCCAAAGTCTAGTGCAAGAAGGGCAACAATTTCTCAAGCTTAGACCCTATAAAACAACAGTAATCCAAGCCTTGCAGCCACCTGATCCAACTAGCAGGGTTCATTTTTGCAGTTGTTTTCTACGGTCTCGTCAAAGGTGAGATCGATCTGCAGTTGACAGGGACAGCATTTTCAACACCTCCTGTGATATGTGAATTGTAACTACTTCTTTCTGAAAGTTATTGGCCAACAGGCATATTGATTCACTGGCAAAATTCACGTGCACCTCACGGTCTGCTGTGCACTGGTTGCTGTGGAGTGTAGAGCCATGATGAACCAGTCAACAAAGATAAGAGCCTCCCTGTATAACAGAAGCATAGTTATTCTCCACATTTCCAGATGTAAGCTCTGGGAGAAGTGAAGGCTCAGAAAATTTTGCTTGCAGATGTAATCTGAATCAAAACATAGTATCCTCTGAACAAGGGTTTGATCCCTTATGAGATCACCAGGTCCCCTGTGTTAAGACTGAAAATAAATTTGAATTTACCTGAATGAGAAGTAAATTTAATTTACTTCTCACTTTAGTTGCTAGGCCAAAAATAAACACCCCTTATCTATCCCTGAATTTTAGTTTTTTTTTTCAGTTTCATTCACCTTGGTGTCAGATATTTTGTCACTTTTAAAAATCAAGTTCAGAAAAAAAAATAAGGAAAATGTGAAAGACCCCTTCAAGTCTCTGACACTCCAGTCGTCATAACCCATGGTGTCAGTTTTTACTGTCAGCTTCACTTCTTAGCATGAAACTGTAATCAGAGGATGAAACTACAAAACACATACATACAGCAATTTTACTTTCTATCATGCAGTGGAACAATTAAATTATAAAACTATTAATAGTTCATCTGTTAATGTTAATACTGTATCACCATTGAAATTTTGTACACTGGAAGTTTGTTGACCACTGCGATGTACACTCTTCACTGTAAGCTCATTTCTGACATACACAAATGCTTCCTGTTCACTCTCATAGGTCAGATACCAAAGCACTACCATTTGCTTACATGTGGAGTAAGAGAAAAAACATTTCAGATACATAACTTTGCTTTGACGTTCTGCAAGAAAGACACTTCTGTACAAGCAAAATGATTTTGTCATATGTTTATCACTGCCAAATATAAACAATGGTTTAATAATTACATTTCATAGAAATGATGTGCTACCATGGAGAAGAAGCCACTATCTGTTGTTTCAGTGGAGATACTGTGTTAGAGAAATGGGCAGGTGACAGGGTGCTATAAATCATGTCAAAGAGGAAGGAAAAATATGGGAGCTGAATGGTCAGACTGATTGCATGGTAGACCAAGTAACTGTGAATATTCTTGAGGAAACTACTGGCAGTAAACCTCCTTTTGATTCTGTTTAGAAAGCATGAGTGACTGAAATGTTAATACCAGAAGTAAATAGGTAGTTGTATTCAAGATTTGAGAATATCATGGTGGTGAAGATTATGGTCCAGGTTACTAATACATGTACTTATACTCTGTGGGTGGGTACCAACATTTTAGGAACATATGGCCTTCGTCTTCAACCACAAAAGTGGAGAGGGTATATTCCTCTTAAACAGTGGTCTCCCCTATCAGGAAGATGGAGGGAGTACATTCCTCTGAAACATTTGCAGTCACCTACCGGACTACAAGGCATAACCCAGAAAACCACAGTATGAATAATGTTATGTTGCTTTAACGCTGTGATACATGGCTCTCAGCTCAAACCTGGAAAATCTTCCTGATAATCAGAGATAGATTTATGCTCTGGTAATCTCACATTTACTCCAAAACTGGCTGTACTCCTGTTTGCAAGAAAGAACCAGTGAGATAGGGAACCAATCAATGAAATATTATGTGGAAAAAGATAAAATATACTTATTTATGTCAGTATTAAACTGTCAGTGAACAGACTGGTGTTCATTTATTGGACCTAAACATGCATACTCACATCATAAAGAGCACAAAAGCTTTGTTGGATGCTAGTAAGCTAGTAGCTAATAGATTCTTAAAAAATGTACAAAGTTGAAACTTCGGAATGATGGTAAATTAAAACTGCATTCAAAAAGACATGAACAGTAGCTTAAATTACAGGAATGCTTGCTATCACTCTGTTCGAACCTTTTGTCTCCCTGTCTCCCATCTACAAATGTAAAGATGTAAAGATACAAAACCATAGTTTTAACTGTAATTTTCAACAGGCATGAAATTCCATCTTACACACTGCAGAAAGAACATTGATCAAGGGTATCTCAGAACAGAGTATTGAGGAAAATTTGTGAACCTAAGAGGGACAAGTGATAAGAGATATCAGAATATTGCATAATGAGGAGCTTCACAATTTTTATTACGCTGCATCAGACATTAGGATCATCAAATCAAGGAAGACAAAATGAGTTGGGCATGTATCTTGCATGGCACAGACCATAAATGTGTACGAAATGTTGGTTGGAAAATCTGCTATTAGAACAGTTAATCCAAGGGATGGTGTAGGGTCAGAATGCTGTGTTCATTTTAGCAGATGGGGAATCTTTCCCTTACACTTCTCCAGCAAAGATGTGCCAGTATTGTTTGGATGAGCTATGTTGCCAGATCATGCTCATGTAGTAAGGTTTTACTGTGCACTGCAAAATGCCTGCTGTCTTCTCATTGCTAATTGTATAATTCATGGTGGATCATAACTTTCAAGCGGACAAGGCACTTTTGTGTGCCTTCCTATATTCATTATTGTCATATTACTGTATTGTTTTATCTGCCATCTCCTTTTGCAGAAACACGAAACACCCGGCTGTTTTCTCCTCATAGATAAATCAAGAACATATCCTTCTCCATTTCTAACAACTTTATTCAACATGTTAATATGGCATCTTTATTATCAGCCACTCTTACCACGTTTAGATCGGTAACAGGGCTAACCGTGTGAACTGCAACATGATATCCTGTAGAAGAGGCAGAGGAGGGTCACTCTGTAGGGGCAGGAATAAATTAAGCCCCTAAAAGGTGAGGTGGAAGTGAAATTTGCACTTGCAGTTAACATATTTCACGATATTTTATGTCCACTGGCCTTGCTGCATCATTGGTAAATTATATCACATACATAAAAGAACTTCAAACATAGCAACCATAGTGACAAGTGACAATTACCTCCAACTGTCGACCGTGTAGTTCAAATGGAATGCCAATGGATGACACACAGCAATTTTTGTAAAGGCTGAAATTTAAGAACCTGAGTGGCAGGCAGCGAGTGGGAGTAATATGGGCCTGGTATTGTCCAGTTGGGCTTATTACAGAGAACCAGATGTAACACTTCCTTGGACTGTGCCACGGATTAGTTGCCGGTTTGCCATCGCAGGGCCCAGGTTTAGTCCAAGGTCAGGTTATGTGGGTTCTGTCATGGAACTGGGATATGTTTTCTCCGAGTACTTCATTCTCGTCTGCTCACTCTTATTCCACCGGCAGTCCAATACGCAGGGTCTCTTGCAACGGGCCCAGTAGTGGTCTGCGTACAAAGTGCACTCAGTTTTACCTACTCAATAGAATTTCCCGACATAATTCTGATTATTGCCTGATTATTCTTAAGAACTTGTTTATGAATCGTAGGGTTCCATATGTACGGGCTGATATATTGAAAAAGCGACCAACAGTTAGGATGCTACTTCGTGAGTTATTTGGTCGGTTGGTGAGCCTGGTTTATAGATAAAGTTGATAGCAGTAATCTGTGACGTCAGAATATTAGCTGCTCAAGAACGCTCAAGAACTCAAGAACCACAAGAACTTGTTTATGAACCTTAGTGTTCCATACGTACCGGCTGATATCTCGGGAAAGTGACTGACAGTTAGGAAGCTACTCCATGAGCTATTTAATCGGTTAGTGAGCGCGGCTATACATAATAGTTGATAGTAGTAATCTATGATGTCATAGTTGACTTTGGCGTGTCGATGTCAGTGATATCGAAAACGAAGATAATATAAAGGCGAACTGAATTATGGGAAAGATGATTGAATTAAACGTTTATGAATGCAACAGAACTTCAAGTAATTCAAATACAGTGAAGACTTCTGTTTGGTTATGAAAAAGAACGATTTTATAATAGAAGAATGTTACAATGAAGTTTTTCATTTTTCTGTGATTCTCTAATCCATTTATATTTGTTAATACATGTTTGATGGTTCTGTTTTTCCTTTTTTTACTGGAGAAGTTACGGTTGTTTATTTGCTTATGGTTTACTTTTATTGAGAATTTCCAAAAGAGTTCCTTGCGTCATAACCAATTCTAAGCATACAGAGCGACACAGAGATTGTCACGTGTTCTCATGACGTCTGTTTGAAACAGTTTAGTCTCGGAGAAAATGTCTGCTTCGAACGGTGGTGTAAGGTCAGAAGACGAAAAGAATTTCTTTAACAGCGTGCAGCTCCCATTCCCAGAAGTAATTGATGGAAAAATTAACACTTTACAATTTCTAGAGTCTTCCAAAGGAGTTGTTGGTCTTGTAGGTGAGTGACAAACAGTAATATTAATTATAATTGAATTCGTGTGAGACTTCGTGTGTGCTGGGTGGCAGATTGTGTACATAACAATTTTATCGGTTGTGCATTTCGATGAATGTATGAATAATCGTAAGTTAAACTTGTGCCTTTTCAAAAGAATATCCCCTCATCTTGAACCGCATGCACTTTTTATTTGATGTGTATGCAACAGTTTATGAAAATTAAGAAGAAAAATATATATACATATTATTTGACTAGACAATGTCGATCAAGTACCGCAGGAATCTTGAAAGCAGAGGTTTGCCAGTCATTTTCAGATGTATACGTGATGTTTAGTTTGGGATGTTAAAAACTGTGTTCAGTGAAGTGAATATATTACTGGTGAAATTTGGGGTGCATAACTTCTTATCTGATGCCAGTTCTTAGGAATTTCAGTTAGATAATGTATTTTAGAGTTCTGAGCGTGCTGAAATCTCTTGAATCGTACAGTTTCAACTTTTTTATGTTGTGTACCTTTGATGCATTGATGTTATGAAATTTAACCCAGGAAAATCAATTGTAAGTCATTTTAGCATTTGTGGAAGCCTGAGGAGTGTAGTTAAGAACATTACCAGGCCCATATCCAAGGACCTTCTGAATATAAGGTTCTTTTTCCTTGAAAAATTGCCATCTAAGTGGAGGTAATATGTCATTTGTTTATTAAAATTGTGATATTCACCTGAGATCTTATATGTAATCTTTTTTTAAATTTTATTCAGTATTTATGTTACACAGTGGTCATTCTCTGTAAGCTGAATATATCTGTCATGATACTCTCTTTATTGGGATACTGATAACTGACTGATGGAAGAGCTTGGCAGTCACTTGTTACAAAATAACTTTCAGTTAATCAATTTTTAATTTATTCTGTTGATCCATACTGGTACAACCATTAGATATAGAAAAGTCAAAAATAGAAGACAGTACAATATTACTTGTAATAAATAATGATAAATAAATAAATACATAAGACATGCAGTCATTAAAAGATTTTGTTGAATATATAAAAATAATAAAACACTGTAAATACTGATACAATGATGTTGCTATTACCATCAGAAATATATCTAGTTTTATGCATAAAACATTCATAATATAGAACACTGTAAATACTGACACAGTGATGTTACTATTACAATCAAAAATACTTATCTAGTTTTATGCATAAAAAATTCACCCACAGTATAAAAAATGCTCCTGCATGTACTTCTTTAATGCTTTTTTGTAGCTTTTAATATCACATGCCAAGTCCTTAATGTCAGCTGGAAGATGGTTATATATCTTAACGCCTGCAGAGGCAGGACTTTTATGAAACATCGTCAAGTGAGTTGTTACTTGAAAAAAATTAGAATTATTTCTGGTATTAAAATTATGAATTTCAGAATTTTGTCTAAACAGTGATTTATTGGTAATGATAAACAGAGTCAAGGGGAGTATGTACTGAGATGCTAGAGGTAGTATATTTAGAATTTTAAAAAAATTTCTGCAGGAATCCCTGGGTCTTTCTTCCATTAATATTCTAACCATTCGCCTTTGGAGTTTGAAAATATTCGTACTGTGGGAAGAAGTTCCCCAGAAAATTAATCTGTGTGTTACAACTGAATGAAAATAAGCATGATAGATTATCTTTACGGAATTTAAAGATAAGAAAGGTCCGATTGCTCTTGCAGTATAACATGCTTTGTTTAATTTGGAAGCCAACATATCAGTGTGACTCTTCCAAGACAGAGTATTGTGAAGTACTAGCCTAAGAAACTTTAATTCAGTAGTATTGGCAATAATATTGTTGTTATATTTAATTTGTGTTTTGGAATTAATAACATCTTTAGAGTGGAATCCCATACAGTAGGTTTTGTCCAGATTTAATGAGAGTAAATTTGCCTTAAACCATTTTGTCACACAAGTGAAGACTGACTTCAAGTTATTTCCTAGTACAGTATTGTTTTTATTACTGATGATTATGCTAGTATCATCTGCAAATAAAATTGTTTGGGGGTTTACACTGATGTTCAGATATTTTATAGGTAAAGGTAGGTCATTGATATATAGTAGGAAAAGTAATGGTCCCAGGATAGATCACTGGGGAACACCATTTTTGACCCGGCTCCAATCTGATTCACTCTTATCAAATGGCCGATTTTTAATTACCACCCTTTGATATCGGTTTTGGAGATACGATTTTAATAACGTATATACATTGTCAGTTATACCATAAAATTCAAGTTTTTATAAAAGTATTTCATGATTTACGCAGTCAAAAGCCTTCTCCAAATAAAAGAAGATTCCACCTACTTTTTCTTTAATGATAATAGCTGCTAAAAATGTATTAAGTTATATGAAGCTGTTTCAGTGGATAATTTGGGGCGAAACCCAGATTGTTCATAGGCTAGAACGTCATAAGCATGAACATTCATTCATTCATTCATTCATTCATTTATTCACATTCCATAAAATCTTTACAAGGTTGAAGAAACCAATAGATACAGAAATCGTCCAGAAATATAAACTCAACTTGCTTAGAAATCAAGCAGTTGTCAACATAACAAGTTAATAGTATACAATGTTTAAATCACACATAAAAATTTATCTTGAAAATAATAAGTAAGACATCGACAATTTTAAGATAAAAAATTCAGTCCAAATTATAACTATCTTACTTAGTGAGGCTTTAAGCCCCACAAGTTGGTCGCCACTTATAACCGTCCCTTCGGTGCCCTTCCGCTGCGGCTCTGTCTGAATAGTAGTGCAGGGAGTAGGAGTCGATGTTGATCGGCCCCTCTGCTCCAATGACCACTTTGATGCTGCCCTACCTGGTGTTGCCGCTTCTGAAGATGCTGGGTCGTAGCTGGTATCGGCTTGAGCTGGCTCACCGCTTCTTTCTTCTGTTGAGATTATTGGGGGTTGGATTTCATGATGGGATTTGGTAGTATGGGCGCCAGCAAACAGCTAGAGACTGTTTACGATTCATAGTAAAAGGGAGAAGGAGTGAGCACGTGAAAGCTGATGGTGGGTTTGACTAGACAGTGGAGATGAGTCCCATTGTGAAGTGACAGAAAATATTTCTTAAGTACAAGGCAAGGAAATCCTTTCAGTGCATCATATGACAGTGCTGAATCTACATTATCTATAGAAGCCATTGACTTCGAATTGACTGGTAGATTTAAATTAAAATTTAAAAATGGGAGAATTGTAATCAGTGGTCTTTTACAGAGGTTTTTACAAAAGCACCTAACATTGGCAAACAACCTTTCACATTCATGAAGTGGAACAAATGAACACAGTGAAGCCTGTTTATAAATGGAAATGTTACTGCAATCACTTAACAGACCACAACAAGCATCATAATTGATTTGAAACATTTGACATTCGCATGGCATATTTATATTTAAATAAATATTAAGGTTATTAAAAGAATTATTCTTAAAAATTTTATTTAGCCTTTTCTTCTTAATGCAGTTCTGATGTTATTCTGTTTTAAGTTTCCCATCAACTGACCAGCTTCATAAAACAACCAAGTAATAATGTCTCAAAGTAAAAAAAGGGAAGTTTGACAGCATGATCCTTTGCAAGGAAAGGGTTAGTTTGTTGATTGTCTTTCGGTTTGCAATTTTTAATATCGTGTTTACGTGTTTTATATTACTAATATTTTTCTTTTGGTCTTATGCATATTTTATTGTTATGTACCTTATAACGGTTGTTATATTATCGTGATAGATCATTGTGTAATTTTTATGTGACTTTGACATGTGGTATATCCACTGTTATTTTTTTGACATGTCCAATTATATTCACTTCAGTTATGGATGAAAAATAAAGTTGTAATTTGTAAGGTTATGCATCCAAGTTCTAAAGGAATCATAATATAATTGGTGCAAATGAAGAAGTCAGTTCGAGTGGTAGCACTTCAGACTTATATTCAGTAGATGCTCAGGTCAGATCTCGGCTGGGACACGAACTATCCCAATTGAGGTTTATCATGGTTTTCCTAAGTCCATTTGGATTAATGCTGGAAAAGTACCATAAATTAGGCCATGACTGCTGCCTTCCACATTCCTTCCAATTCATCATTTGCTAATCATCCTACCATTTGACTTAATTATGTGAGCTACTGATGTTAAAATAGAACGTGAACAAATATATAAATACGTAGGTAAGTCAATAATTATCCGCAATGTAGCTATAAATTTTATTTCAGTATAAATAGAAATCTTACTTTAACATCATTTTTCAACATAGTCCCCTTGCTTTTCAACGCACTTGGTCCATCGTTGCACAAGCTTTCTGATGCCCTCAAAAAAGAAGGTTTTCGGCTGAGCAGCGAGCCACGCATGCACTGCTTCCTTCACTTCTTGGTCCGAGGTGAGTTGACGGCCCCTTAATGCCTCTTTGAGTGGACCAAACAAGAGGTAGTCAGAAGGGGCGAGATCAGGACTATACAGAGGATGAGCCATTACATCAAACTTGAGTATGTGGACGGGCATTGTCGTGCAACAACACAACACATTTTGACAGTAGTCCTCGGTGTTTGCTTCGAATTGCAGGCTTTATCCTGTCAGTAAGTATCTCACTGTAACGAGCACTGTTTATTGTTGTGCCCCTCTCCTGATAATGTTCCAGTACTGGGCCTTGTGAGTCCCAAAAAACTGTAAGCATCAGTTTTCCTGCGGATGGTTGGCTTTTGAACTTTTTCTTGCTGGGCGATTGTGGATGTTTCCATTCCATACTCTGCCGTTTACTATCCGGCTCGCAATGATGGATCCATGTTTCGTCACCAGTGATGATTCTGTCTAAGAAGACATAGTTACCATAGCGATCCAAATGTTGTTGGCAGATGTCCAAGCGCGTTTGTTTATGCAACACTGTGAATTGTTTTGGGACCCATCTTGCACAGACTTTATGAAACCCAAGTCTGTTGTGGATGATTTCATAGGCAGAACCATGACTAATTTGCAGACGATTTGCCACTTCATCAGTAGTCACTCATCTGTCTAACAGAACCATGTCACGTGCACGTTCAATGTTGTCCTCATTTGTGGCCATGGATGGTCGTCTGGCTCCTTCCTCATGTGTAACACTTGTGCGACCATTTTTTAATTTTTCAATCCATTTGTAGACACACTGTTGTGGCAAAACACTGTTCCCGTATTGTGCTGAAAGTCTGTGATGGATTGTGGCCCCTGATACACCTTCCGACCACAAAAACCGATCACTGAACGTTGCTCTTCTTTGGTGCAGACAGAAAGTGGAGCAACCATGATTAACGACAACTGACCTAGCAACATCAGACCTGCACAGAAATAATGACAAGGAAACCATGCATGGCGATGCTGCGCAAAATGACAGTGCTGCCAACAGAAACACAAATACAACTGCATTGCAGATAATTATTGACTTCCCCTCATATAATCGTATAATCCTACTAGGTTGCTTCAAGAAATACTGCTTTCAGCATGTATTTGACAGGTTCTGGTTGAAGTCGGACTCTGCCTGTACACAAAGACAGAAAAACACATACATATAAACTAAACATCCATGCCCTGAGTGGGATTCGAACCCACGATCCCAGTTTCCAAGCGAGCGAAGACAGTACATGCCTTAGACTGCTCGGCTACCGTGACTGGCTGCTTCCTTCTTTATCCTCTCTAATTTATTATTCACTAACGATCCTGTCATTCAACCTTATATAATCCTGAAGACTGACAGTTTTATTAAGTAAGCTATGACTAAGTGTAATATAAAGTGAGGGCCAAGAGTTTATAACTACAGGAATTCAGAATATTTTCAGGTGCATTGCCCATTGTACCTTGCCCAAAATAAATGTACTCGTGTATCTTCCACATGTTAATTATAATATATGAAAGTATACTTTCACAGGAATAAAAATAAATAAGGCTTTTACTTACTTACATTCTGATAGTAACAAATTGTTTTCAGAGAAATTTGGCAAAGTATTTGCTCCTGTGAAATATGACATGACAGGGAATATTGAGGTAAGTTGAAGTATAATAGATTACTATCATAATGCTAATTTTGTGGTTCAGTCATATTTTTATTTCCTTACATCACTGCATGTAAAGTAATTAAAGTGAAAAGTGTTTATGGTTACATTTGTTTTTATAGATTTACAGAAAAGCAGTGCTGTTGACATTAAATATAAGCTGTTTTGTCACAAAACATTTATTTTCTTTGTCGTAAAAAATACATCTTTATGTCATCCATATATCTCCAGGGAAAGAAGGAGGGTAGCTGATTTCATAAACCCACCTTTAAACATGGCTTGGATAGAAAATTCATTGTGGTCATATATAACACTGTTTTGGAAACAGTCGGGTATTTAAGACTGTTTGTCAGTTTTCTTTTTGCATGATTGTATCTTACATCCTAATCAAAACTCTTATGAATATTACAGAAACTTACTGAGCAGTATAACACCAATAAAGAGAAACATTTGTACCTTAACAACATGATCTTAGCTGAGAAGGAAGAAGGTGGAAATTATGCAATAGATGCACTTCTGTGGCTAAGAAGGTAACATATGATTCCTGTACATTTGAATTGCTTCTTAATATATTTAATGCTTTCTCAACTGCACAGGTAACATAGTGTCAGAATTTTACACCTTCAGAATTTCATTCTGTTATCATAGTGGAATAGTGGAATTGTAGGTAGTGTATTAGGGTTGGGGGGCAGGGGGCAACCATAAAGAAACTATCTTATCAATGTTGTCTTCACCTCTAATGTGGATGGCTGTCACCTGCAGACTGTATCCTTTTCACGTTCATTAAGTGGTCACCCTACTGCTGGCTGGATGTTTCATGTCTGGCAATACTACTGCTTTTGGAGAGGCTCCTTCATCTTAGGGAAGAGACTGAAGTCACAGGAGCTCATGTGCGGGGAATATGGTGGGCATTAGAGGAATGTTCCACTGCCATCATACTAGGTGGAGAGTAGCAAGTGTGTAATTGTCACTGTCTTCCTCGGAGGAGCAGAAATGGCCCATTCCAAGGGTATTTTTCAGGACATGCAGTCCTGTTTACATGACGTACGGTATCTTCATCTGCCCGGTGTTTCACTGTCTGCTGTTACCACATTATATGACAAGAGCCTCAGTGCTACATGCATCCAGTTAAATATGTCAGCAGTTCTTCACATGATGTCCTCATGCCATCTCTTCACTAGTCTTTCTACACTTCTTCCTCTAGGCTAGTATACTAGAATCTGTTTCGGTATTCTGTTGTTTTGCATTCTTCTTACATGTTGTTTCCTATCACTTCAGTACCTTTATATAAATATTGTGACGTGTTGCACAATGGAGGACACCCCCTCCCTCCCCAGTGGTGACACGGGCAGCTCTGGCCACGATGACGTAGCAGGTGAGTCAGC